GTGAGTCCGGGCCGGCAGCCCCCGCGAGGGGCCCGGGGCGGGCGGGCGGGGGGCTGAGCAGGCCTCCGGGGGCAGCTTGCTGGTCCTGGCCCCGAGCTGTCTGACCCCCTCTATCAGGCCTGGGCGCTGAGAACTTTCAAGGGGAACTTGGGAGGCCCGCGCCCCTCTGCCTGTTACCTGCTGCCCGTTGCCTGCCGTCCAGGTGTGGGCGTTTGTAGGACCAGGAGAGGCCGCCGGACTGAGCGTGGGATGAACAGTGAGCGGCGGAGAGAGAGGCTCCTGCAGCCTCTGAATTCTCTGAGGCGGATGGCTGACTTTGCCCAGCCCCGTCCAGAACCTCTTGGGCAGCCCTGAATGGACCGTCCCTAGGGTGCGCTGCAGGGGCGAGGGTTGGAGGGGAGCCCCGCTTTCTGGTGAGGGAGCCAGGTGTTCCAGGTGCGCCAGGTGTTTGGACTGGACCTGGCAGCGGGCTGGGGAACATGGTGGTTTTGACCTTTGGCATCTTTAGGGGGAGGGAGAGGAAGCGGGAGCTCCTGGAGTTGGGCCCCTTCTCCTGTGGAGGAGACTGGGTGGCGGGATTGCCCCCCTGGGGAGCCCCGAGGGGAAGAAGTCATTCCTGGGCACCCGGAGCACATCCGCTGTCTGTTTCTGCCCCACGTCTGGCTGCTGCCCCCCAGGTAAGCCTCGGCGGATGCAGGGGCAAGAGGGCGCCTGGTACGGCCTCTCCCGCAGGCAGATGGCACCCCTCTGTGCCTGGGAGCTGCTGCCAGCTCTTTCCTGGGCTGCCCCCGGCGGCAGGTGGCTAGGGAGAAGTTGTATATGTTCCATTGGGAAGGCCTGCCCTGGAGGGACTCCTGCCTCATGGATGGGCACGGGTCTCTTGGAGGTGGGAGGTGTGTGGGCGTCACCCTCTTTCCCTGGAGTGCCCTCAGCCCCATGCAGGGTAGCCCCATCCCTGGCAGGGGGAGAGTCTTAGGATTCCAGTGAATCCCGATGGTTTCCTGTTCTTCCCACAGAGCGTCTCTCCAGAGGAGAAGGTGTGCCACAGCCTCGAGTGGGGGATTAGTTCTCTCTCTCCTTCCTGGGGGTTGCTTCTCTTTGAGAGTGCTTTCAAATAAGCCTCTACAGTTTATTGGGAGGGGTGTGTGTGTGTGTGTGTGTGTGTGTGTGTGTGTGTGTCTTAGTTGTGCATCAGATACGCTTCCTGCTCCTCCCACCTGCCCACGGGATTCCTGCCATTCTCTCCCCCGTTCTTGCCCTGCAAACTGTCTTCAATCCCTTCCGTTCAGCGCCGAGGAGCCTTGGACTGACTGCCCTGACTGCCTTTGCTTGTGGCTGAGAAAGGTGCCCAGATTGCCCCCCAAATGCCCCAAAGGAGTGTCCATTCATGGACTCAGAGAGAGTAGAATCATTTTTATTTGTTTTAGATAGCGGTGAGGAACAGAGCAGATGCTTAACTCTGTTCCACATGGGAGAGAGGGGCCAGGCACAGAGAGGAAGGACCCTTTGCAGATGAGATGGCGTGGTTTGCAGGTTGCTGGGTCACACTGAGAGGGGCCATGGTCTTAGACACGTGGAACTGTTCACTGAGCTCCTGTGCCTGTCCGAGGCTTTCTCCTGTCAGTGCACCATGAGCATGGCATGACTCTTTATACATACATACATACATACATACATACATATATACATACACACACACTCACACACACACACACACCCACACACACACACACATATATATATATATATATATATATATATATGATTTTTTACAGAGAGGAGGGGAGAGGGACAGAGAGATAGAAACATCGATGAGAGAGAAACATCGACCAGCTACCTCTTGCACACCCTACTGGGGATGTGCTCGCAATCAAGGTACATGCCCTTGACTGGAATCGAACCTGAGACCTTTCAGTCCGCAGGCCGACGCTCTATCCACAGAGCTAAACCGGTTCGGCATGACGTTACTCTTATTTCCCATTTGTCTTTAAATTTTTAAAATTGGACTTTTCTTCATTTCCCATCTTTCTTGAAAATGGTGATATTTTTTATCCTTGGATCAGGTGTTCTCCAAGCCTGACATACCATGCCGCTCACCTGGTGCTTGTTAATTACAGCACCCGGCTCCTCCCCTGCGGTTCTCACCCACCTTTCTGGGACGCGTGCTGGAAATCTGTATTTAAACAAGCATTCTTATGATGTTTAGGAACTACTGCCTTAAATGCTGAAAAAAATGTCCAAAGCGTAACAAAAAGAGAAAAGTATGTCTGTTCAAATGTGCTGTTTTTTGTTTCTGGAGTAGTTTTAGGTGTAAAACTAATATTTTAAGCAGCATATATTCTTTAAAAAAAAATCTTTATTGAAAGTATTACATATGTTCCCTCCCCCCTCCCCCCCATTGACCTCTCTCACCCTGCCCCTGCCCAGCCCAGGCCTTCACCCCTCTATTGTCTGTATCATTGGTTATGTTTATATGCAGGCAGGTTCATTGGTTGATCTCCCCTGCCTTCTCTCTGAGGTTTGGCAGTCTGTTTGATGCTTCTTTGTCTTTGGATCTATTTTTGTTCACCAGTTTATGTTGCTCATTATATTCTCCAAATGAGCAAGGTCATTTGATACTTAGCTTTCTCTGACTGGCTTATTTCGCTTAGCATATTGCTTTCCAAATCCACCCATGCTGTTACAAATGGTAGGAGTCTCTTATTTTTTACAGCAGTGTAATATTCCATTGTGTAGATGTACCTCAGTTTTTTAATCCACTCATCTGCTAATGGGCACTTAGGCTGTTTCCAAATCTTAGCTATTGTAAATTGTGCTGCTATGAACATAGGGGTGCATGTAATCTTTCTGATTGGTGTTTCTCATTTCTTGAGATATATTCCTAGAAGTAGAATCACTGAGTCAATTGGGACTTCTATTTTTAATTTTTGAGGAAACTCCATACACTTTTCCACCAAGGCTGCATTCCTACCAGCAGTGCACGAGGGTTCCCTTTTCTCCACAGCCTCTCCAGCACTTGTCATTTGTTGATTTGTTGATGATAGCATTCTGACAGGTGTAAGGTGGTACCTCATTGTTGTATTGATTTGCATCTCTCAGGTGACTAGTGACTTTGAGCATTCTATATAATAAAGAGGTAATATGCAAATTGACCATCACACCCTTGCACAATATGTCTGCCCCTGTGTGGTCACATGATGGCAACCACAAGATGGTCAGCAGGGAAGGGCAGTTAGGGATGACCAGGCCTGCAGGGGAGAGAGGGCAGTTGGGGGCAACTGGGCTGGCAGGGGAGCAGTTAGACATTGCTCAGGCTGGCAGGGGAGTGGTTAGGGGTTGATCAGGCTGGCAGGGGAGTGGTTAGGGGGTGATCAGGCTGACAGGGGAGTGGTTAGGGGGTGATCAGGCTGACAGGGGAGTGGTTAGGGGGTGATCAGGCTGGCAGGGGAGTGGTTAGGGGGTGATCAGGCTGGCAGGGGAGTGGTTAGGGGGTGATCAGGCTGGCAGGGGAGTGGTTAGGGGGTGATCAGGCTGGTGGGCAAAAGAGGTTGGGGCAATCAGGCAGGCAGGTAGGCAGGCGAGCAGTTGGGAGCCCAGATTGTGAGAGGGATGTCTGACTTCTGGTTTAGATACAATCCCACAGGGGTCCCAGATTGGGGAGGGTGCAGGCTGGGCTGAGGGACCCCCCCCTCTCCCCAGTGCACAAATTTCATGCACCAGGCCTTTAGTTTTTTCATATGCTTCTTTGGGTTCTGTATGTCCACTTTGGAATAGTGTCTATTTAGGTCCTTGCCCATTTTTAAATTGGATTGTTTATCTTCCTTTTATTAAGTTGTACAAGTTCCCTATAAATTTTGGAGATTAACGCCTTATCAGACATATCATTGCAAATATGTTCTCCCATGCAGTGGGCTTTTGTTGATGGTTTCTTGGCTGTGCAGAAGCTTTTTATTTTGATGCAGTCCCATTTGTTTATTTTCTCCTTAGGATCTGTGTTGGTGAACATATTGCAGTATATATTGTTTTTAAATGAAAATTTAATTCATAATAACATTAAAAACATCTAAAAATGTTTAAAAATCCCAAACATTTTCAATTACAATCATTTTATATGCTTTACGAGGTCCTCTGATGCTAGCCATGGAACAGACATAATTTAAGGCCATGAACCTCTTTAAAGTGTTATGAAACTCAAACTAGATAATCTTTTAGGCCAAGGTCAGGTGTCTTCATATGGGTCACTTATTTGGAATATCCACAAAGCCTCAGTTCCTGGGACCAGGGGCTAGAAGCCTGCTTTCTGTAGAAACCTGCTGTTCAGTGGACAACCAAGCCCCAGCCAGGGCCATGGCTCAGCCAGTCTATAGTTTCCCTGAGCCAGGCCTTGCCAGAAGTTAATAAAACTCAACTTCCCTGCTGTTGTTCTGTTGAAGCTACCGATGACTTGGAAAAACTGCCCTGAGGTTGTTACGATGCTTGTCAGCCTTTGATCCTCATTGTGAAAGAAAACTTTTTGCCTTTCCTGAGACTCATCACTGTTTTGCACTTGGGGGACAGAGATTTGGCAGTAATTTTTGAACTTGTGAAACTGAAAACTGAAGGCTCCCTTTGGAGAGCTGATGATGCCCATTGTTGTTGTTATTGAGCTGACTTGGAAGTAGAAATGATGGTGTCGGTGTGCCCCATGCCCCCAGCCTGTGCCGTGTGCTGTGACGTTGCCAGAGCTGTCCTGGTAGCCGGTATTTACCGCTTTGAAGAGATCCTCTAGGTACACAAAGAACCACCCTCTCCTTTCCAGAAGAAACATCTCAGGATGTCTCCATGGCTTATTACCTGGAGCAATGGATTCAGGAGCAACATACCATTATCATGTTAGGAGATGTTTGCTCCTTAAATATGTTGGTGGTCTATTAGGTTGGCCATCATTCTTTTTTTATTAATTAATTTTCCAATTATAGAATTTATCATTCTTTTTATAAAGACTGGCCCTTGGGATGTTT